AAAGGAGAACTTAATGCTTAGGGGACACTGAGCTTCTGTTAAAAGTACAGAAATATATGGGAATGGATAAGGATAATGGGTGAACAACATGATGAACATTTGTTAATGTCACTGAACTGTACATGTGAAGAATGTTGAAATGGCAAGTGCTTTATTATATATAATTACCATGAACAAACAAAAAACCAAAAACTCCTTAAAATATGGTCACTAGATCTTTTTCAAATGTTTCAGCAGTAAGGAGAAATGCCTCTAATATCGGTAATTGTGGTAGCATTGTTTTTCTGAAATTGGTGTGATTATCAAAATCGTAATATATAGAATTTCTAACTTTATTGTAACATATTATAAGAAATCGTTACCTGAGCAATTTCTTCAGGAGTTGTCACAGGTTTAGACTGCTTCTTAAGCTCAGCAATTACAGCATCAACAGCTAACATCACACCTGGTTCAAGAATAAGTGTCATTACAACGCATATTTCATGACTTCCATGTCAAACAGATAATTAAAAAGTGTTCAAATTCACGATAAATATTTTAATGTCTTAATAGTCTACGAACAGTTTCTGTACCAGTGCTATTCCTAATCACATAATTGATGGCCTACCCTGAAACAGGAATATTAAATTTATATACCAGATGAAGTCCCACACCATCAGTTATTTTCAACACTGGACTAAGACTGACCGCAGTTTAAGGAATCTCATCACTCAACTTATTCTATATAAATGATTCCCTATTCAATTATCTTGCCTGTTTCCAATAAGGTCACCCAATACTTCTCAGTTCAATGACACCAAAAAAAGACCAAAATGGATTAACTCTCCTTTATTTTCAGCAAGATGTGTAACTCGTGGCCATAAGGATTTTTTGTGGTTACACCCTTGCAAGTTTGAATTATCTGAAGTTTCCTTGTTTAACATAAAATTATGGACTGAAAAAATATTTTTAACAGTCAACAATGCTACAAGATGGACTTATGAGAACCACAGGCCACATTTTGCTCAAGTGGGACTAGTGCTAGCTCTTTCTTTCTTCCCTCCTTTATTCTGTGAAATGTTAATTCAAGAAAAAATCCAAGATGTGCTGTACAATGACTCTTGTTGGGAAGTACACTTAACCTCATTTAACACTTGCTAGTAACTTAAGAGTCACACTGCTTTTAATGTGGAACATTCATTTGCATCTTCAACAGTGAGTTAGATTAGGTGATGACCTATCAGTTTCCTCGGGACACCAACTGTAACAAAATAATAATGTTCCCTTTCACTCTTAAGTGGCCTGGCTTGGACGTGAACACACCCTAAACACATACAGCAATTCCATTTTATAGACAGTAAAACCAAGCTTTAGTATGAGATCAATAAACGTAAATGAACAAATTTAGGTCTGTATCATCACAAACCTCACGTTGAGATCTTTAAAACTTGGGCTGGCTCTCAAGACACAGTAACAAAATGCAGACCAAGACAAAAAAAGCAAACCAATAACATGGTATGCACTATTACCAAATTCATTGCCGTCGAGTCGATTCCGACTTATAAGCGACCCTACAGGACAGAGTAGAACTGCCCCATAGAGTTTCCAAGGAGCGGCTGGTGGATTTGAACTGCCAACCTTTTGGTTAGCAGCCGAGCTCTTACCACACTGTCAAGAAAAAAGTGCTACAAAAATTAAGACATTGCTTTTTACATCCTGAATATTAGCAGTTTCCCGTTTAGCCCTTCTTCGAGAAACATCACAATCGTATCCCTCTCCTCTAATCTCACAAATTTACTATTTTCAAGGTAAATAGTACATCTGTATCTTCCCATAAACTACTTCTTTCTAAGAAAATACGGGCAATTTTATTCACATTTTCCCTCTTTAACACCTAGCACAGCATCTACCACATTCAATCAGTTTAAAATTTTTTAGGAAAGAGAAATTGCCTTCTTAATAAGCACTTTCCGTAGGTCCAGAGAACCAATGCCTTATGATCAGAACACCATGATGACAGTGAAGAGACATTCCTACCTCTCCTGATTTCCACTGGGTTAGCACCTTTGCTAATCTTCTCGAAGCCTTCCTTGGCAATAGAGCGTGCCAGTACAGTAGCAGTGGTGGTGCCATCCCCAGCCTCTTCATTCGTGTTATTGGCAACATCCTGAACAAGTCTGGCCCCAATATTCTTGTATTTATCCTTCAAGTCAATGGACTTTGCAACGGTCACACCATCTTTTGTTACTTTGGGACTTCCCCAACTCTGTTCAATAATCACTGTTCTTCCCTAGAATTGCAGAAGGAAGGAAAAAAAAAAAGACAGGGTCACACACTCTAATAACTAATTAAAACAGAATGAGAAATGTTAATAATAGGACAATAACTTCAAAACTTCAACACAAGATGTGTCGTTTTCTTCACTCCTCCATGAACCTCAAGGGCAAGTTCAACAGTTTTAGGTTACAAACGACCTCTGTTACTCAGCCAAATGCATAACTTTGGATGAGGTATTGCAAGAGATAAAAATCCTAAAGACTAAAAGATGTCATCTTATATAACGACCAACAACGCAAAATAAATCAATACCAACTTAGTATGCTATAATGAAATTTCAGAATATTCTTCATATCGTTTATACTTAAGTTGTAGTTAGTGCCTGTTATCTTTGGAAGTAACGTGACTCATTTTAAAATATACTTATCAAGGCAAGAACAGTGTACTCGTTCCAGGTTTATTCAACATTAAACCTCAAATGTGCACAAGCAGTGGTGGCAGTTTTTGGATTTAAACCCAACAAAATTGCCACTTTCTAGTCATAAGGCGTGCAAATGCTCATATTTTGTAGTTTGGGTCACTCTGATTCTTGAACTGTCTTCAATCTGAAATAAAACATCACTCAACCATGAACCACCATCAAACGCTGCCTCAAAATTTTTATTACCTCTCTATCTCTTTACATTAAATAAGATTTTACTTTATAAATGTGCTTTGGAAAAGAATAGCAGAAAAACATTGGGTAAAACTAGCACCTACAAGCACATACTTGAGATATTGTGAGAGATAGAAAGTTATACTCTTTGCTCTTATACCTGGCACTAACTACTGGGAAAGGATCCAAAATTTAACTGAAGCAGGCATGCAAGATAGGTTCTACCCTGAAAGAATCCACCTCCAGCTACGAGTTACTACTCGATTACATCACAGACTGTGCAAATTACAGTTTTGAAAATTTGGCTGAAACACTGTAAGTTTTATGACCATTATATCTAAGCAAAAATAATAAAATAACCAATAATCTGGAAACTTTTAATATAAATATGGTTTTCTCAAAAAATGGATACCAAAGATGCGTTCAATAGTTCTATGTGTCTATTCGCAGCAGTAAAAAATATTCCTCAAATCAATCATACTATAATTACAATAAAATAAAAATACTGATACCTTTGGCCCCATAGTAACAGCCACAGCATCGGCTAAAAGATCTACACCTTGAAGCATTAAAGCTCGGGCATCTGCACCGAATTTTACATCCTTGGCATAAGCCCGAGTGAGATGAGAAGCCAGTACCCTGGGCACTGGCCTCATCTGTCGAAGGACTGCAGGTAATCGGAGCATTTCTGGAGGAAAAGAAAAGCAGATGAGTACTAGCACCACTCGAGGTGCGCTGCAACACAAAACATGCCACCTGTGCAATGAACAAGAAACGTTAGGTAGGACCTCCGCTAGCCACGGAATGCGACACGGTTTCAGAACATCAGCTACTAACAAAAGCTTAAAATAAGAAGCGCCACCACGCTTGGTCTATAACTCAAGCACAAAGAACACCCATCTCCTTCCCCATGGCCACCCATTCCTGCCGCTAAAAACAAGTTAATGTTTCACAGCTAACTTGGCCCCTGTAAGCAAAACCACTCCAAACGCACTCCTGAAAAACCAAGCCAGTTGGAGAGGAGCACATTAAAAACCAGAATGACCACGGAAATGAAAATATTCCCGACGTTGCAAAACGCCGCTCAGAAAGAAGTGACTTCATGTAACCACCCGGGGCTACTGTATCTGAGCAGCTAGCAAGGCTCCGATGCGGGGGGCGGCCACCCGGCCCACTCCGCGCAGCCCCACGTGTCTTTCCATCTGGACGCCCCGAGCAAGGTCAAGGGTGGAGGCGCCGTACCCCTACCGCGCGCGGGGCAAAATGCGGTTCCTACGCGGCAGCGACCACCATCCCCGGCGCCCTGCAGTCGGCCCGGAGCGAACTGCACCTGAGGACCCATGAGAACACAACCCCCCCCCCAACCCCCTGAACAAGCCCTTCTTCCCGCGTCCTGCCCAGGCTCACGCTCAGTGCCGCACGTTATGAGACCCCACGTGGACCAATGAGGCCTGGCCTAGCGGGACCAGGCCTGCAACGCCGCGAGGAAACCCTGGTTCTTGCCCCGCAGGCCACACTGAAGCTGGGCCGCAGCCGAAGAAACCAAGCTTAGGAGTAGGAGGCTTCAGGATGAGGCGGCACGAAGCGGCCGCGTACCTGCGGGGCGGCGGGCCGAACGTGAGCACCGACAGGCAGGCCGTCAGCGGCGAGTGAGGGACAGACTGCAGGACGCACACAGCAATGAGCCCGTGTCCCCTCCCTCCGCCGCTCCCCCCGCCCCGCCATACCACATGTGTGGGCGACTCCTGCCCCCTCCCCCGGTCCGGGCCCTGCAATCTGTAAGCGCGGCGCGCGAGGCCCGCCCCTCCCTACCCGCGTAAGGCCAGGCCAGCGGGCTCAGCTCTCTCCACCTAGTTAGGCTAGTTCCCGGGCCGCGCTCGGTTCCAGAACTTTCCGGAAAGCGCCGCGCTCTCCGCAGGTCAAGGGTTAAGTTGCGTCATTTCCGGGGGGGGGGCGGAGACGAAGGGATAGTTCTTTCACCTTTTCGGGCGGCCTAGAAAAGCCTAGAAAGAGCTTCTCAATTCTTCCGCGTCCCGGTCCTCGCGTCAGCTGCCTGCGCAGCGCCCTCAGACGAATCGCAGCACGCGCAAGTGCCACCGCCCCCAGTCAGGGCGGGGCGGGGCGGGGCCGGGAGAGCGCGCCTGCGCGCTGGTGGGCCTTTTCCCGACGTTAACGTGTCTCGAGAGTGGTATTGCGGGTCTCTTCTTGCGGTGGGATAGAGAGAGCAGAGTACCAGCTGCTGCGACCAGAGGCATGGTGAGTCCCAAATGGGCTGGAGGCCAGCGTGGCTGGGTCGGTCTGAGGCTCATGGAGAGCACTGAGAGCCCCATTGGGGCCTGGCCGGAAGGGCAGGGGTCACTTAGTGCCTGGCACTCGCCTGGACCCTGGAGAGTGGAGACCCCCTAAGGAGAAGTCGCCCGAGCCGGAAGGCAAGGGCCTAGCCCAGCCCTCCCAACACCGAGGGCACTTTTCGCGCGTGTCCTGGTGCTGCACGCGCGTGGCGAAGGGGGCGGGAACTCAGACACGCGGGGCGGCCTGTTCTTTGCTGGGTCTCTGTGCATGTGTAATGTTTTGGAGAAAGAGCATAGCTCCAAGAAGAGAGATTGGCTCCGTTTCCTGAAAATTTCCAGAAAAACCTGCGGGAGGAAAATATTTGACCTTGAAATAAACTAAAATTGTTCTCAAAGCTGGTATAACTACTGACCAGAGGAGCAACAACGACCTCTGACAGACATAGGGAATGGGAGATTAAACGTGGAATATAGAGCAGAATATTGGAATGTGATTCCAGAATTAGTAATGTGGTTTTTGGCGTTTGTTTTTGAGAGCTAGAATGTCGTTTGAGATGCAACGCTTACGTTGGCAGTGCATGTTTAGAACGTAAGTAATTTTTTGCCACAAATAAAAAATGTCTTTCTTTACAGGCAGGACAGGCATTTAGAAAGTTTCTTCCCCTCTTTGACCGAGTATTGGTGGAAAGGAGTGCAGCTGAAACTGTAACCAAAGGAGGCATTATGCTTCCAGAAAAATCTCAAGGGAAAGTGCTGCAAGCAACAGTAGTAGCTGTTGGAGGTGGATCTAAAGGAAAGGTAAATGAGAGCTGAAAGTTTTTGTGTGTCCAGGGAAAGGGTGGAATAAGAAATAATGGTTTGTTATTAAAAGCAGCCTTTTAAATACCTTGTGTCATCTTAAAGTCATTCTCTGGTACAACCACTTTTCATCTGCCTATTCGACAAAAATGATTGTGAAATTTTTAGGATGGTGTTTTCCAGATTATTAAAGTTACCCTTAAAATGAAAGTTACATTATGCTTCAGTTAAAGTGCTGAGGATTTAAGAATTTAGAGAGCCTTAGTTGGCATACTTACGAAAGGAACAGTTTGGATTATCATTTCACGTATTCTCTGATTTACTGGCTGGATTTCAGTTCTCTTAAGCGTGTCAGCCAGAATACACAGTAAATGCTCTTGAGGTCAAATATGTTTACTGCATTGTTCAGTTGCCTCTTAATAGAGAAAGTTCTAGCAAGGAGCTATCTTAAGAGTTAAGCATAGGGAAGTTCTGGGCCTCTGGGTCAGCCGCCGCCCCCCCCCCCCAATCTTCTGTACTTTGGAGGAAAAGAAAACGATTACAAAAGTTTATGTCCTAAAGTACAGAAAATTTCTCTTAAACTTATGTAGGTTCAGAAAGGTTAAACTTGACTATTCTAATATATTTCACAGTCAATAGGTTAATATTTAATAATTAGAAAGTTCGCTTTAGTTAAAGTTAGCTTTTCCAGCATAATTTTTTGAACTTTTAGACTGAATCAGGATTTAATTTAAGCCAGGATGTGTGCATATCTTTAAAGTGTAACCCTTTATGGTGATATTTGTGATTGAAGAGCTAAGCAGTATAATAGGGTATAATGCTGTTTGTAAAAAGAAAATGCTAGCCACTAACGTATCACTTGCCCGCTAAATGCATTTTTAACATTTTTAAGTACACTTGATTAATTATAGCGATTTAAAAGTTAAGTGTAAATATTTGGTGAACTAATAAACATTTTTATGCTCTCAAGGGTGGAGAGATTCAACCAGTTAGCGTGAAAGTTGGAGATAAGGTTCTTCTCCCAGAATATGGAGGCACCAAAGTAGTCCTAGACGACAAGGTGTGTAATTTTGGTAACTTTAAAAAGAATGTATTTGCTGTTAATTCTCTTAACTAATGGTTTTTCTCTTTACAGGATTATTTCTTATTTAGAGATGGTGACATCCTTGGGAAGTATGTAGACTGAAATAAATCACTGTTGAAATGGCATCACGTGAAGCTGCCCATTCCACTGAAGTTCTGAAATCTTTCATCATGTAAATAATCTGTTTCTCTTTTGTAATAAACTAATATCTAATGATATCTAGTGTCTCTGCAATTTAGTTTCACTGTACTGATACAAACATTTCCAAATAAAAATGTTAATCAATGGTTAATTTTTGTTTAGTGACTTAAGGTGATTTTAGTGTTCTGTAGTTTATGCTCCCCCACCCACCCACCCATAACCCATAGATAATTCTGGGGAGCAAGGATGTTTTCTAGCTAGATGCATTTTCACATTTAATTTAGTTCTATTATATAAATCATGCTGGGAAAAATCAATGGGCTTACGCTTGCAGTTTAAAGAATGTAAACAACATAACAAGCTTATAATGGTAAAGTACTGTTCTTCACTTCTGGAATCTATATTTTCTTTTCAAGGTTTAGCAAAATTTATTTCATGACATGAGTATTTCTAGTTTTTAAAACTGCGTAATTTACATGGCAAAAAAATCCAAGGCAAGATGGATTAGCTAACATTGACAGTGCCTTTTAAATGCCAGGGTAGGTACTGTGTGGTACTGATAACAGCTAACACTTGTAAGCATTTTCTAGCTTGCTGACTACTGTTGTAGATGACAAGTATATATCAATTTTTATATGAGGTGTAGGTAGTATTCCATTTTGCAGATGAAGAAGCTGAGGTACAGAAGAATTAATAACAGGGTCACTCAGTGGGAAGTGACAAAGCTAGAGTTTGGCCATATGCAGTCCGCCTCCATATGCTGCTCTCCAAAACTTGATATTTTAAATGCCCACTTTGTTACTGTGTCAGACACTTTTAAGCACTCCATACACATTACTTCAGTTAATCCTTGTAATCTGTGGTATGGGCGGTGGGTGGTACCTAACAGTGCCTGGCTCCTAGTCCTTTGTTGTGAGTCAGTTCTGACTGGCGATCCAGGATGTGCAGAGTAGAACTGCTGCATGAGGTTTTCAAGGCTGTGACCTTTCCAAAGTAGATCACCAGGCCTGTCTTCAGAGGCATCTCTGGGTTTGAACTACCAACCTTTCAGTGGTAGTTGAGTAACCATTTGTGCCGCCCAAGGACTCCTGTCTGGCACTTGTGTGCCGTCAGAACTGCCCCATAGGGTTTCCTAGGTTGCAGTCTTTGCAGGAGGAGACTGCTACATCTTTCTCCTGCAGAGCGACTGGTGGGTTCAAAGCCGACCTCTGAGCAGCTGAGTGCTTTATCATTGTACCACTAGGGCTCCTTTCACCTGGCACTTAGGCATCTAGTAATTTGTGGAATTTAGCAAGGAGACTGAGTCACAGAAGCTGTTAAATATCTTGCTCTAGCAATAGCAGCTAGGGTTAGAGTTTACACACAGGCAATATTGGAGTTGATTACCAACCCCTAAACTGACTACTGGCTACAACTATTTCTGTCTTAAAGGGGTAAAACTTATTTTTCAGCTTTAGTTTCTTAGGAAGTATTTTGTGGTATCTTAAAAGTTGTGTCCCATTTATCTCAAGTGGACTTAGAAGTTTTAAGTGGCATGGAATAATAGTGTACTGTGTATGTTGTATATGTATGTAGTTAGTATATACCTCTAATATGTATGTGTTTAGTCACAAGATTTAGATACACGAATTATGATTAAAAACTCATAAGGCACCCAAGTGGGTCACCAATTTCCTACTGGGCCCCAGGCACAGCTAGATACTGTGCTGTGAACATCATAACCTTGTGAACGCAGATATTCCTAATGAAAAACTGACTCAGAGGAGATGAGGAAACTTGCTCAAGGCCATGTGGCTGGTAAATTGTGAAATTAGGAATCCAGTCCAAAGGTCATGGCTTTCCACTTAAGCCCCTTGCTGTTTGCTGCAGACCCAAACAAATGAGTTTTGAGATATAAGGTGATAGTTCCCAAGCCTTGGTTCATCGTTGCAACTAATTACCTGGTATACTTAATACTTCAGGGCCTCATCTAAGACCTGGTAAATCAAAAGGTGGATAAAAGAATTTTTGTACAATAGAAGTAGTTCTACTTCTGTGACACTTGTCTAGCAGAATTACTAAAGACATTTTTAATTATTTTTTGTTGTTGAAAATACACAAAAACATACCAATTCAATTTCTACATGTACAATTCAGAGACATTGATTACATTCTTCAAGTTGTGCAACCATTCTCACCCTCTTTTACCGAATTATTCCTCCATCATTAACATAAACTCACTTCCCCCTAAGCTTCATACCTAACCTTTAAAGTTGCAGTTGTCCGTTTGAGCCCATATAGCTACATCTTTAAAAAAGCACAATGGTCAAGGTAGACATTCTTTACAAATTAAGCTAAACTATTGTTTGCTTTATAGAAAACGTCAGGATTTTTTTTGGTTTAAGGTTTAAAGACTAAAATAATTTTAGATTGTGAGGTTACATTGATAAAATAGGGAAAAGAATTCTGACAGAATTGCTTGAGAAAATTAGGCCAAAGATAAGGACATTGGGAGTGTAGAACCATGTTTCAGAACAGAAAGTTGTTTACCTTTTCTTTCTGTTAAAACAAAAATAATGTAATTAAAAAGGAGAAAGGTCAACAAAAAAGGTAAAATTCTAACAGGAATTTTCATAATAATATTAGCTGCCATTTTTTGAGCCCTTGCCAGGCACAATTATAGGCACTTAGCATGTAATTGTCCTTAATGACATGCAATCATAAGAACCCTTTGAGACAGGTATTCTTGCTCTGTAGATGAAGGAAGATGTACAGAAATGTAGAATAATTAAGGTGTCAAATTTTAAGTGGCAGAGTTGGAACTGAACTCAGGTCTATCTGACTTCAAAGCCTGCTTTCCACTATTCCACACATAAAAAAATTGCGAAATAGAAAACAAAAAAATATTAGTGAGCTATTAGATTGTCTGAGTATTGCCGTTATTATTCAGATTATGGTTTTTCCTTGTTTGGGGACGTATGAATACCTTACAAAAAGTTATTTGTAAAATCAGACTCCTAAGGTTTTATATATTAGAGATAATAACTTGTCACATTTGTTTCCAGTTTGCTTTCTAATTTGATGTGCAGTTTTTATTTATATCTAATCAAATCTCATTTTTCTACTACTTTTTCTTTTGAACATTTAAGTAATTTATTAGCGATGGCATATGTGACTTTTTTTTTTAACAAATAATTAGCTTGTCCCAACTTTATTGAATTATCCATTCTTCCTCCCTCCCTAATTTGAGATAGCACCTTTATCATACAGTAAAAATTTATATATGTCTATTCCTGAGTTTTATAGTCTTTTCTATTGATCTATTTTATCATACTGCTTTCAGTGTAAGTGTTGTTAGCGGCTGTTGAGTTGGCCCCCACCTCATGGTGACCCCATGCACAGTGGAATGAAACACTGCTCAGCTCTGCACCATCTCCATGATCAGTTGCAGATTGGACTGTTGTGATCCACAGGGTTTTGGCTGATTTTTAGAAGTAGATTGCCAGGCCCTTCTTCCTAGTCCATCTTAGACTGGAAGCTCCGCTGAAACCTGTTCAGTATCATAGCAAACACACAAGCCTCCACTGACAGATGTGCAAGAGGTGCATTGGTCAGGAATTAAAGCTGGGTCTCCTAAAGGGAAGGTGAGAATTCTACCACTGAACCACCAATGCCCTCTTCAATATAAATTACTTTATAATAAAGTTTAGTATCTGATAAAACAAGTCCTCCTTGTATTCTTTCACAATGTATTTGGCTGGCTGTGAGTTTTTTTTTTTTTTTTTTTTTTTTTTCA